GATTTGGAAATAATCTAAAACACAAAGAATAAAAACAAGACGGTACGAACTGAAACCTGACGTAGGGGTCAATGGGATTCCGAGTCTAATGCAATGCTCAGATCAAAGTATTCAGCTATGGATAGTATGGGTGGTATGGAGGGTATTTATATTGCAGTGCTGCCAACACCACCAATTTTCTCTACCCATCCAGGCACCACGCTGCGATGTCGATGTGGCTTGCAGTCCCGTCTTACTTTGGGAGTAAACAGCTAGGGTTGGACGAAGATTCCAGCTTGCTCCAAATGTACCCTTCATTAGATTGACTCAAGTTTAACAGGACCGAGTCAACGAGCGACATTTGGCCATTTCAACGATTCCCAATATGATAGCACCTTGTATGCTGGTTCCTGACCTTTGTGAAAGTAGCTCTCAAGCTTGAGCCTAATGGCCTTGATTCCAAGCAAGTATTAGGCGTCATCTAAGGCAGTGTGTGATTCTATCTAGTTTCAAAAACTGTTACGCCCACTATCGTCAAATACCCTGATTAGCACGACTCCAATTATCAGAATCAGGAGATCTTACATATGTGGTCCCCCTATCAGCTAGCATCAGATAATCTCACCACTAAGCAACATCATGATCCGTGTAGGGGAGACCTCAGATTATAGCATGCACAAATCGAGAACGGACACAATGGCGGCGCTCTTGGCTGTGGTTCGTTGGCGCCATTCCGGTTAATACATGCATAAATGTAACCCAAGTTGGGACACCAACGATCCATACCTGCATCTTTGGGATACACAAAGAGCAGTGCTTGCTGCATAATCACTGCATAGTCGTGTGAGGAGGGGAGCTCCGATTTCGAACTCAGGGAGCCGGCTTGAGAGCAACCACAGGTATGGTTGACATCGTATGGCTTCATTGTGCACAGGGGGAAGCCGATATCATACGAATGTATAGTCAACTGGTATATGGAGTTGGTGGCAGTACACACCTACCAAGTGCATTGATGTCTACAACTTCCTGTGAAAGTCTTGTGAGAGTCTTGTGCCTTGATTCCTAACTGCATTAGAGACGAAAAACGGATGAATTCGAGAGAGCCGCAGCGCATACGAAGAGGAGAGAAAATAGAGCCAGTGAAGAATGATGCACGAGGCGAAACGACTTGCATGAGGCTCTGAGGCAGTCAAAGAAATGTACATGCACCACCATGAATAGGTAAGAGAAGTTGGAAATCGGAGAGCCCGACTATCAAGATGATTGCTTTAGTATAAGTTTCCAAAAATGACCATAAAGCCTTGATGAGAAGACACCAGGTTCATCTTCGCCAACCGACAGAGTGATTTTCTTTCAAGAGTCAAAAGTTCCGCTTCTAGACCCGGATTCGACACTCTGTGGCTGATTGATCTCTTCGCCAGAACAAAAGGCAGCATCGAGACTTTTGTCAAGACCTTGCACGACCCTGACTTAAGATCGGTCCGGGTCCGCTCCCAGCGGGGTTCTCCGGCCCCGTGCCTCGAGTTGAGGGGACATGGCCGGGGTCAATCCCCATAATGACGTTATTAGCGCTCCCATAAACGCCGTGGGTCTGATAGAGAGTGTGCTTGATGATCAAAAGGCAGACACTGAACTGAGAGAGTTGGAAGAGTCGGGGCCACTTGTTGCTACCGCGTTGCATAGTTCAAGTGAATTGCTGCAAGATTAGTTGTCACCCCTTCTATCTGCATCATGTCCAAGGCTACCCTCCAAGAGAAGACAGACTTCTCGTGTGTTCGCGAAGCTTGGAGCATCTGGAAAGGGTGCCTGTCAGGCTCAATCTAGGCATGATTTGCCCCCACATGACACACTGCACGACACGACATCACAATCGTCTGGGGAAGGGTTTTCACTTCTTCCCGTCATACGATGATAGACTAGCTGGCTAGATACTATACATACCACTGAATATGCCGGGCCGGTAGGCTGCACGAATCTTTTGGAGTTGGTTTTGGTGTTGCGTTTGATGGACCATATGATCAGCAAAGAGGCCCCACGCCTAATTCCTACATAATACCAGTAGAACTTGGATCCATGAAATGATTTTTGAGTTGCCACCGTAACTTGAATCAGGGTCTGTCCCGGTATCGCGGCCACTGGCGGGTTTCGGCATCACCATGTCATATGGCCAGTAAGACAAGCTACCTAAAAAGAGGCTGCGAGGTACATAGAAAGGAGAAAAGGCACACAGGCTTCGGCTGTGCCTCAGACAAACTAGCCAGACCAGAATTAGCTTATCATGGTTTTTTCCCGGAACTCTGTGTCCCTAGGGTGCCATTTAACCCCTGGACGGACAAGGACAGAACTCGAATTGGCTGAATCTGGTCCCGGGACCATCACACCACCCCCCTCCCCTCCCCCCAAAATTAAGCAACGGCATCCACCGACCTTCGGACTCCGACCGGCTCTTGGAGGACCTGCCCGGCCTTGTCGTCTATCCATCGTCAACGTTTTTATAACCGGCCTACGTCGCCACTCCTTTCACATTTGCCTTTGCCTGGTTCTTTAAATACAGAACTTCAACTTACACCCCTTCAACTGCTCATGAACGTGTTAGTGAGGCTCTCTCTTCACCAATATACATACAACCGACGCCGGTACAACATCGTCAACGCAACATAAGAGACAACTTCTTGGAGTGGATCACTTCCCCTCCTAGTTCACCGCGTCTCCTACGACATTGCATCACAGCAATTGTGAATATCTTCAAAAAGCACTGCCATTAGCAACGCCGCTTCCGGGCTTTGACCTTACCCCCATTTAGCATTTACCCAACGGATATATACAGCAGCATCTTTGCCAACCAATCATGGTTCAATTATTGGCTGATCCCGCATTCTCGCCCGCTGGAACTCCAACACACGAGGGCACTAATGGGCCTCTTATGAAGCGTCCTGGCCCTGTCAGGACTGACTCTTCAACACCAATGACCAGGGAAGAACATGCCAAACGAATGCAGGAGCTCAACAAAAAGAGGGGACTGATGAGGGCACCCAGAAGAGGCTGGTCAATGACTGACTACCAAGGCGACCATGTTGCCGGGTCGCACTCGGGCGCTTCTCACATTGAGCGACAAGCACCCATCCCCGAAAATGAGTCGCCTCCTCCATCCACGCCTTACCTGCACTCAACTCCTGAAGTACCGGCCGAGGATAAAGCGGCCCATCTTCCTCATCGACCCAAGTTGCCTCCTCCTCGTCGCTCATACTCTGTAATGGATTATGAACCAGTTCCTCAGACACAGCCACAGCCCCCCAAGGATCACACGCTGCTAGATCTTCCCTCTGAGCTACATTACACCATCTTTGATCACCTTGATCCCATTGACAGCGTTTGCTTCGGCCTCACAAACTCCAACTTCTACGAAATTCACCGACGACTCCACGGCACAGTTCCTCTCTCCAGCCGTTACTCTGGACCAAACGACATGGAGTGGGCTTGGCGAGGAGCTGGCCCCCTTGTCCACCGACATGAGCGAAACCCTGAAAAGGAGGATCCTATGGGACAGATGCGTGTCAAGGGCCAGGTGTACTGCAGAAAGTGTGGCATTTCGCGATGTGAGCTGCATCGTCACCTCAAAGACTGGATGGGCGACGGTTACGAGTACTGCTCCATCAAGGAGGTCTTTGGCAAGCCCGCAGGAGAGGATGCAAAGCCATACTGCTACATGAAGTCGCCGAAAAACCCGCATCGATGTGGACGTCACGGAGGGAAGTAGGGTGCATTATGATGAACCTAGACGACAGCAAACTAAGATAAACGACATGATACGACAATTCACCCCCATGGGGGTATGACGAGATGAAAGCAAAATCCAAAGAAGACAACGCCCTGATTTGCTTTATTTTTATTATTTTTATTATTTGGGGCAACTCTAAGAGCGTTACGGTTAAAGATCTTTTGGTTTCAGTGTGTATTATCTCTTGAGAAGTGGGCATTTTGGATAATGGATAACGGATACTGCGACTTAAGTCAGATCATGGATAGCAAACATCAGGAGGGGTGGCACCAAAAAGGAAAGTGCGGAAAAGGAACTTCCTCATATCATAACATGACGCAATGAAAATATTTCTGATATCATGAGCGTGCCTTATCGTTACTCCAAGGTCAATGAGACCGTCAAGACTGTGTTCCCTACCCTCGGGGGGGGGGGGATACACGGCCCTTGATGGGTTTGGCTTATACCAAAATTCGCTGGCGATCCACCGATTTGGGGTCCGTGTTTTATTCCCCCCTAGCCTACTTCCAGAAATTACACAGATTACACGGATATGTGGAATTACTCTGGAGCGGCAACTGCTAGGTACCGATCTACGGTAATAATTACCTCTGTAGTTGATTTGAGACGTCATGGACCACTCTTCGCGGCATACGCGCTTCTTCATTGAAATACGGGAGCTTGCACCTGATGATCTAATTAGTATGATGAAATATATCGGGAACATCTAAGATAAGCGAAGGGAGTGTCATTCAAGCTTACTAGTAGTACTTTGCAGGCATGCTATTGTTAGGATCAGGGAGACAAAGAAATAAATACCATAAGCAAATTTATCAAACTTTGTCGACTTTACAGTGTCACTAGAAAGGTCATTTTTGCAATGCTTTTAACTTTTTAAACACCTGTCAGCCTGCTTCCAACAATACTTTCGAGGCCGTTGTGTGCACAAGGAGCTGTTGGTATGAATCTGTTCCCGCCGTATCTCTTTGTCTAACAGTTGTGAACCTGATCTTTACTCCTCTGGCCTGCTCTACTCTAATCTGACAGTTCATGCAACAATGCGCCGACCCAATACCCGAAAGAGTAAAATAAATAAAAAGAGAAGATGTTCGTCTGTATCCAAGACACATATCCCTTTATCACGGTGCAAATTACCCAATCCCTTAAACGCCGATCCCATGACAGGGATTACAAAATACCACTCATGATCTTGTTCCACTCCGGTTGATAGCAGTAAGAAATGCACGGCGAGTGCTGTCGTTGTTTAATCCTTCCACTTCGGTGTACAGTCACCCTTGGCGTCGATCCAATCGTTGATGCCTTGCACAAACCAGCCACTCGTCCACTTCTCTTCCGGCTTTTGCTCTTTGCGAGGCTTGCCCCTCTTGAAACTCCTGGCGATGCAGCACACGTTATTGTGGTAACGCCATTGGAAACAGCGCCGGCCAGCGTGCCACTCCTTGTTACCCTTCTTCTGACTGTAGCGGGACCTAATCATCTCGTTGCGTTCTTTGTCGTCCTTGAGATTGTAATAATCGTCTTCCGAAATATCGAGGTTTTCAGCCTCGCAGACCATAGCACAGTGCTCCTTGGATCGGTGAGCGTGTTGCTCAATTGCGTTCTTCTCATTTTCCTTCTTTTGTCGGCCCTTCTGGTGGTCAGTGGCCTTGCCCTGAGCTTCAGGACCAAATCCGATATAGCAGACATCGTCAGACAAGTTATCCCACTCGTCGTGCTCGGCCTCCAGCTGAGGAGCCCAGAACTGGTGATACATTTCTCTGATTTGGATGAACCCCTAACGTTGATGGTTAGCTTCCTTCTCTGCAAACTTCAACATATTTCTGGCGAGCATACCTTTTTCTGTCGCGTCTTCTCGAAATGCCAGGCGTCGCTGACTTCCTCGGGATTCATGTGATGCATGGACAAGAGGGGCTCACACCAGTGATTGTTGCCAAATGGAAGGGTCATGGGCTTCTCGCCGTTGAACATTGGGTGTGCTTGTTTGACCTTCTTGCCGGTTTCCATGACAGCCAGGGACATGAGGTAATCACCACAGCATTCATGGGTAGCCATCATATCGTACTTGTGTGCCAAGTCAGGAATCTCAACCATCTTCCTCATGGTGTCTCCATGGATCACATAACCACTGCCGCCATGGGCGAATGGCTTTCCCTTGAGCATGGCAACACTGCCGACGTACGGTGTCTCTGTGCCATTGACCCTGTTGCGGAGATACCACACGAGATTCGACCAGAAGACGTAGGTGTCGGCTTCAGCAAACACGTACCACTCCTTGTTGGGACGCATCTCCCAGGCTTTCTCTACCATGTGGAGGAACTTGTACTTATCAAGATTCCAGCCTTCCTTCATGTTCTCGGTGCAGTACTGCTGAGCAATTGGGCATTCAGTTTGGGCTTTGTAGAGGTCAAATTCCTTGCGTCCTTTTTTGACGTCATCCTTCACGTCCTTGAGGACGTCGTAGATTTGGTACTTGTCGATTTGTTGGTCCTGTCCGGATTAGTTAGCTGCAACCCCTTATGGAACGGTGGCTTGATATAATTTCATCGGTAGCGCCAAAAAGAAGCCCCCTTGCGCCCCCCTTTGTGGGAGAAGAATGCTATGTTTACTCACCAGATCAGAAAAGAGAAGATAGTCATCCAGACACTGCAGACTCGTCAAGAGATGGGCCGGGAGCTTTGTAAATGCTTCGGTGGCACCGGTTTTCATGACAAGCATGATACCATCAGTGTTGGGAAAGCCATCACAAACTCCGGTCCAGTTTGATAAAGGACCCGAGGGAACATCCAAGTCTGCCGTTTGAGAAGGCATGAACTCGCTCGCGATGCTGGTTGTCGCGCTATCGCCGTCTTCGTTCTTGTGGTCATTGTTGTTTTGCGACTGATCAGAGAGCTTGGTACCATCAGGCTGCTTGTCTCCCTTGTCCTTGTCCTCGGCCTTGTCATCGCCCTGCTGATGCTTGTTCTCGCTTTCTTCGGTCTTAATCTCACTGTGTGGAGGTTTGTGCTCGTCGCCTGAGGCTTTCTCATCGGCCTGGAGTTTTTTCTCGCCGGTCTGAGGCTGCGTGTTATCCTGTGGCCGATGTTCCTTGTCGGCCTCTTCGGGCTTGTTTCCATCCTCTTGCGACTTGGGTTCACCACTTTGTACAGCCTGCGATTCGGTCTCGCTGCTCTCGGGTTTCGTGGTCTCCTTTGGCACCTCGCTGTGGATCTGGTCGGTGCTTTGGGGTGTATCGCTGTCGCCATGATCAATCTCAAGAACCGCTCCGTCATCCTCTGCATCCTCTGCCTTCTTGTCGTCCTCTGGGTGTTGAGCTCCAGCAGGCTTCTCAGCGCTGGCGGAAGCTTCTTTATCTTTCTCGCCTGTGTATTGTGGCGAATCCGTATCGTATGGGTTCTTTTCGGCAGGCTCCTTGTCGTTCAGTATTTGGTTGGTAGTCGTCTCGTTGAGGTTGGCGACAAAGCCTTCTTCGACATCGTATGCGGCACCTTCATGGCTGAGATAATTGGTCAAATGTCCATAAACGCCCGGTGAATCGTCGCTGAGCCGATGGAGGGGTACAACAAGCAGCAAGGTCAGGGCGACGAGTGTTACTGTAATCAGCCTCCAGCCCCTGGGGGTGCTCCAGGCAGAGCTTAAGTGAAGGCCCATTGGGAAGAGGAGTAAACTGGTTATACAAAACAGGAACGCATGCAAGAAAGGATACGAGTATGAAAAAAAATATAAAAAAATACAAGGGAGAGTGGCGCCTAGAGGCTATAAAGATGGAGGTAGGCTCTGAGAAAGAAAGAGAAAGATGATAGACGGGATGGAGGCTGAGGGCGGGACAGGGTACAAGAGAGTGACGACAACCCAAGAAATCCGTCTACACACGGAACGGGAACCACGTTATTTTGTGCAGCTAAGTTGGCATGGTTCTTTTCAAGAACCTCGCTCGTCTCGTCCGGCGACGTGTCGATAGATACGATCGTCTCCACATCAGCTTATCCTAACTCCTTGGCTTCCGTCGCATACTATACGTATGTACGTACGTACAGAGTATCTGGGTCTGGTCTACATAGCTATCTGTGCCCTTGGCTGCATGCGAATCACAAGTTATTTGTTGAAGGAAACAAAACTCAGCCAGGGCCCCTCCCTAGTCCACTAGCTACTAATCGCTAGTCAGGCCCAGGCTTGATGAGGCGTCCCGTACAGGCCGGATGGGATTCATGGGAGGACAAGCCGCTAGACATGCCTCCACAGAATGAGGTGAACGCACATGCTGACAGGAGTGGACAACCTAACAGCTCGCGTACATACATGCTGTACTGTACGATTCAGGGGTGCTACATACATACCCTGGGCCATGACAGGCAAGGTAACAGCAGCTTTGGAATGGTCCATCTGGCGATCACCCTTTTCAAGGACCAAGCGCCCGCATTCCAGACAGTTTGAGTTTAATAGAATACCGCAATCCATTGCCGGTAAAGCTCCCAAGCTGCGTGTCTGGAGCGTTGGGCTTGGAATGCAGCTACACAAAAGCTTTTCTGCAAGCAGCGCACAACGGCCCGGCTTGGAATTCAAACTCTGCTTCTACCACTACCACGCGGCCAAACGGCATTTTGCGCAGATTGCTCACAGCGCCAGGCGTCGCCCCAATGCCAATAGTCAAGGTTGTGGCTGAAAGTCATGGCTTTTACGTGGCCCGAAACGGACAATTCGACATTGACCTGAAAGCAGCCATTGAATAATTACGTTAGAGATGGGGAAAATGAACCCTGGATCCAGACTTCGATAGTCTCTGATGAATATTGTTTCGTTTATACAGGTAGCCGCCGATAGTGTCACTATAGCGCCTCTCTGGTCGGCGTTAGAACATGCCAAGCGCTGGCTAGGTGGACTACTAAGGTGGGGTGTCCTTTGTCCTTTTTTTTTTAAATTTTTTTTTTTAGTTAACCTCCCTAGCCTCCATCCTTTGCAGCTGTTAGAATGTTTGGCAACATTGTGCCACCAAACTATTTCAGCCCCTGAGGCTTGCATTCAGACCCGTTGGGATCTTGGCTTGCAATGCACATTAGTGTCATTACTGGGCAGCTAGGGCTGACAATGTGATTAATTATTGTCAAACTCCCCCCTCGCCTTTTCTTGCAACAGGATCCACGGTAGTCGTCATCAACCTTTCTCATCAGCGGCTGCACAAGAACCCACGTTTCAGATGTGTCTGAAACTTGAGTCGACATCCATCTGAATCCGTCACGAACCCCAGTCGTGGCGATGATCATTTCGACTAATGCCGATCCGGCCATCAAGATCGGGTCTGGACAGCATATACTTTGGTCGAGAAACCTTGCTGTTCAATGGCCAGTCCAGAATTCAATCATTTCAACATGTTTTTGGATGATCTGGAGAAGCTATCGTGAACCTTAAATGTTCTGATTTCGGCAGATAGCTTACCTACTAACCTAGGCTGTAGCTTTTTCAAGGGTCCAGACTCTCTAACTCACGTTATCTTGGACCCGGAGACCATCAACGAGTTGATGAATACGGCAGTTAGTATGTACGGATACACTTGACTTCAAACGCGCCTGTTGTAGGTATGGCTTGGCCAGGCGGCAACGGAACAGCACAAATCCTCTTGGGTATGCTGTCAGTCCTTGCCATCAACGTTCTCTCTTGACATTGATCAGCAACATCAGCTTTGTGTTATCCTTAAGACAGTAGACACATGTGATTGGTCATGCAGGCGGATTTGATGCATGTTGCAACGGGATCTATGTCTTACAGAAAAGCAGCGTCCGCATGAGATAGCACTGCAGGAACATGGGCCCTCAACTGTCTGACAATCCGAGAGGCCTATTCGGGGCAGCTATCCGCCAAATGTGTAAGAGTTACGTTGAGAGGCTGCAAATGGTTGCACAAGCCTCAAAGGTATGGCGATTGCGTATCGCAGTTTTCACTCATGTCAAATAATTACTGTGATCGATTCAGTAACTTGTGTATCTGTGCCATGCCTAAGGTGCCCAGGTCCTTTTCGTGCCCAGAGGCAGGTAACCTGCAGCTCACGTTGGTCTGCAAGGGTTACCTCATCAACGCATTTCCATTCATAGCCGAGAGTTGAGATTGAATTAAAAACTATGAGCTGGAACTCTTGTTCACGGGCAATCTTGATTGATAAGATGATAAGTAGCCGTCAACGATAAGAAAAACAGCAACGATCGACCCCTAGGTCTGGCTGGGGGAAGCAGCGCTAAGGATCTCATCAACCACGTGCTGGCATAAGGTAACCGATATCATTACCTACCTACCTAGGTAGGTAGGTACGGACAAGAACAACGGCTCTAAAGATCACAGTACGGATTTCGTCCTTTCTTCTCCCTTTTCTCGTGTGAATAGCCCAAACTTGACTCGCCTAGGAGCTCGCCAATGCAGATGTCAGCGACGTTACTGTTTCAAAAACTCGATAACATTTGCTCAGGGACTCGACCTGCGTGACTTGCCAATCGAGGCATCATATCCAGCGCGAGTACATAATTACGGTCAACTGCTTTACTCAGCACGGCATTGAATCGCACCGCTTGCGCCATTCACTTCGAGTGGTCCCGAGCCGAGCGCTGGTTCGCCCATCGCTATGCTTCATGGAATCATAGACTTTTGATTCCTCCCTAGACAGGGTCCCGATGCCCCGCCCCCCGCCGAGCAACAATCCGAACAAGAGAACCTGAACCGAGCGGCTATTGCGCCATCAATCGTCAATTCTATAACGAGGCTCAAGAATCGATGATGGAACGTTCATAAAAAAGCCAGGGTTTTCCAATGTTGAAAAACTCTAAACGCGACACCACTGGTCTTCTTGTACTTGCAGGACTTCTCGATCTAAAGCAAATATCTAAGGAACTGCCATGGGAGGTTGACATGCAGTTCGGTACTCCGGATAGAGCCGGGCTCCTATCGCATCCACTCAATCCAGGGACTATGTCTAGATCGGGATTCTTGAAGTCGCTCGCAATCGGGGATCACAACCAATTGGACAGATACAAGCTCGCATCCTCCCCAGATCTCGCTTTCAGAAACGTAAGCTTTATCCATGACTCTGGCTGGGGATCGAGCAATTTCATTAAATATGCAGCCCACCATTTGTGGTTTCTTTTCTTCAACATTATTATTTCCCATTTTCTCTGCTGGACGTCGAGTGAATTTTGTTCTTCAACCCAGTCTCTAAAGAAACACTCGACTAGTTTCTTGGAGTTCGTGTATCAAAGACCTCTATCTACATGTGATAAGGCTTTCGTGGGTTTTCAAGTCGCAACAAGAAAACTTGGAATAAGACCAGAAACCCTGCAATTGTAACCACAACACCAGCAAACAGCCAACGTTACAGTAAAGAAGCACTGTGCCTGGTGAAGGAAGGAAAAGTTCCTCCCTCTCAATTCTGAGCGACTTTCCGCACCCAACTCTCTCAGCTCATGTTCAACCTCTGAACCATCAACTCACATCAAGGGCCTTATAGACATGGCAAGCCTGTCGCAACCTGGCCATGGGCCAGTTCAGACGAGTGCAGTTGTTGTGCTTGGTGCCTCCTCATGCCTTGCAATACCTCCTCCCTCCCCTCCTACACCATCCTCATCACCACCAGGGGACACCTTCTGTGAACCCATTGACCCACTGAGTTTGGAACGAGAACTAAGAGGTGACTCTCCAATCAAGGACCAGCGTCTGCGAGAAGGGGTCCATGTGCTCAATACAGAGGCATTGGCCTTGAGAAATCTTTCGCGGCTTTATGAAACAGATTCTGTAGCCCGGGACGGTTTCAACTTGTCAGTCCAGGCTATTACCAAGCAGCAACGGGCGAATGGCAAACTCGTTGTTATTGGCGTAGGCAAATCAGGACACATTGGACAGAAACTCGTGGCTACATTCAAAAGTCTCGCCATTCACGCCGTCTTTCTTCATCCAACTGAAGCCTTGCACGGGGACCTCGGTATCATAGGGCCTAACGATACTCTGTTGTTCATCACGTATTCGGGCAAGACTCAGGAGCTGCTCATCATGCTGCCTCATATCGATGAGTCACTCCCGACTATACTTCTCACGTCGCACACTTCCCCGGAAACATGCGAGTTCATCAATCACCGGCCCAACACCATCTTGCTCCCGGCCCCAATTCCAGAACCTGAGAAGATTTCATTTGGCGTTTCTGCTCCCACCACATCAACGACAGTGGCGCTGGCTCTTGGTGATGCAATAGCAGTTACGGCAGCCAAGGAGATCAATGCCAGCATTGCGGCTGTCTTTGCGAAGAATCACCCTGGTGGTGCTATCGGTGCTGCAGCTCGACAACCTCGGACCATCAAGGATATAGCAGTCAGATGGCACGATATACCGATAGCACGAGAGTCAGAGGGGGTGAGCCTGGGGTTTGACTTGCTACGTGCTGGCCTCGATTCGGTCACTGGTTGGGTCAGAGTGCAAGATGGAGTTGCCTCTCCGGGTACAATAAGAAAGATTAGTAGAGACGACCTGAACAAGAGTTTGGAGGAGATTCCAGATGCCTCAATACCCAAGGCTTTGATGCTTTCGCTATCCTCAGAGACTACTATCCGTCAGGCACGGGACATCTTGAAGAACATGCAACTGTCACCGAATGACGAAAATCTGGAATGTGAGCGAGAATCTGCCATTGCAGTGATGGAAAGGGGAGAGATAGTGGGCGTCCTGGAAGTTGGTAGTCTCTTGGATTTTGAAGTATGACGCATCTGAGGACATGCATGGACGATATTTCTGGCTCCTTACACTAGGGGCTACACTTATGACTGGCAAGGCTAGATGCCGACGCATTATGGCAGCGCATTGGCGATTATTACTAGGAGTTATCATAGATGACTGCACAGCGCATCTTATGGGGAAATCGGCGTTCTATAGACAAGTTTACACATACACCCAGACCACGGATCATGAAATGCAAGTTCATGGTTTGCTATGACACATTACATTGCTATTCCAGGTCACATCTCTGCTCTTATGAGTAGTGTGAGTGACCGACTTTCGTAGAGCTTAAAAGCGTATTAGGTCCTAACGAGCGTTCAGAATCATGTTCAAGGGCTTCCCAAATCAGTACCAACACCTTTCACACTATCGCGTGCAAACATGTGGTATTGACATGCCGTTTTCCTCCGAATCTTCTAGATCTCCTTTATCCATGTATCCTCGACTTAGTCTTGTGACACTGGACAGGACATGAATGCTACCCTAGAGCCCAGTTGTTTATTTGGAATATACATGGCTTCCGTGATATCCTCAATTCGATCATGAGAACAGCCTCGATTGCCAAGATTGTGCTATTGAGTATGGTACTTAATTATCCAATGAGCTGTCGGAATAGACAGTGTACGGAAGATAGATATAAGAACCGGCAAGATTGTCCTTTTCAGTGATAGAGCAGCACTTTAAAGATAAGGATCGATGAGCCAAGATAACCAACGACCTTCCACATTAGTCCTTCATGATAGTTCATAGGTCACGTAGATCACTCTGACTTAGTTCATTGATAACAATCCTGCCAAGTTGGCGTTATCATATTGCTCTCAGCACAAAGGAGGAGATCGATAGTGCAAAAATGGCCACATGTACTGAGCCTAGGCGATGAAAATGTTTAGGCAAATTTGGCCCAAGGTTGGGGGAACTCTGGACTGGGTTCACTTTGCCATCCTCTCTTCGGAAGTCTTAGGTTTCCTTGCTCCCTGAGGTGAACTAATTCGGGAACAGCCACGTCTCAGACCCCAAGACCAATATCAACTCAGATATCACAAGAAGGATCCAGGTTAACAGGTCACATGCTCAGCCATGGAAAGGACCCCCCGGCCCTGCTTCAGATTACCTAGGGTTTGAGCAAGAACCCCACGTTGATTAGGTAGGTTTAGAAATATTATTCTCCGGGGTCGTTACACCGTCGTTAGATAAGCTTGTTATGTCCCTTGACTCAGATGTTTGACATCAAACGGGGCTTTCGCTTCACACATGGGGCAAACGATCACTGGACATCTTTCCCATCTTGGACAGCCAGGCAATAGTTCAGTAATACTTGTAACAACCTCATACATGCAAAACCACGCTGCATCGTGGGTCTTCTATTTATTCACGTGCTGGTCTAGTCATGTCTGAACCCTGTGAGCTGTTACAAGCCAAATCGTACTGCAGAAGACTCTCATGTTTCTGGTGAATAACAGACAGGTATTCAACGAGGTATTTCAGGTCTGATTTGCGCAAAAATTCAACCGAAAACCAACAAGCACAGGTCCTTATCTGGCCCTGAGAAGTAATGCTGGTAACGGTTTTAGTTGGTGAATTAGCAGAAAGTTGCCATAGTCGAGTCACAGGTAGTTGCGGCAGCAGGGCCTGTTGAGTCATAACAGAGGGTAGCAATGCGAAACATGAATCAAGTGGACCTGGTGAGAAGTCCAGCAACTGCCTACCTACATGTAGGTAGTACCCACCAATTCATGAAGAATCTAGAACGTGACACTCACATGAAAAGAACATTTTTAGCAACTGCGTTGTGAATATAAGACATAGTATAACGTGCCGTCCTACCCGGCCTCGATAGGTACATGTGAGAACTGAATTTGCGGGTGCGGGCGTGACCTATTACCGTTTTTGGACTGCGAATTGCATCTCATAAACTCTGCGATACGATGCGATGCAATGCAACTCATGCGCACAGGCTGCCCATCGCTAGGGCGGTAGAACGGGTTGTGGATAGATACATGGGTTCGTACCCCTGGAGGCTTAATCCATCAGCGGCCAGGTACCTTTGGGAGGGACCTTTGCAGAGACTACAGACTCTTCGTAAACCGACCAGCGGGCTATCCTATCTTAGTTGATGGGCTGGCAAGCCGGCCCTTCACTCCTCACTGGGGCAGAGCCAGGGTGCGATGTAACGGGATGAAGTCTATCGCCAATAAGTTAATAAGGGAGGCTTGTCAGGCGAGATCTAAAGTGTCCGCTTTCGATACCAAGAGCCCTTAGACGAAGTTGCAGCACTCGGAAGTATTGATGGGACTAGTGCAACAAAATGCATCTGTCCAGACCGAGATCCCAATTCGGCAGATGTGCACGAGATTTACGTAGAAGCTTCAACGACTGCATGCGACTTGACCAATAGCATGTTGTAGAAAATTTCTTTTCTTTTTGACAACATGACACCCTCCCGGTGCAGGAGACTCACTAGCCCCTGTGGTGCAGAACCGACGATTCGCGCCGTTTCTCCCTCTGCTTCAGGGGTTGATGCTCTTTTTGAGCCGATGTCGCCCCATTACGCCGAAGTGATAGCAGTTCCTTGAGACGGAATTTGCAGCCGCCTGCAGCTAATTTGTCCTTGGTCCGAGAAAGTTGAGTCCTTGGGCTGAGGTGGAACACCCAAGTGGATTCAATGGTGTTTTAGCTCATGTTCAGTCTTTGAGCCTCCAGCAATAGCGCCAAAGACCAACGTCTTCTGCCGTCTGTATTGGAGGCACCTGTACGAACGCCCAAACTGGTAGCGACGCTGAGAGGATGGCCTAGCACCTGGGAATTATTGTTGAACTAGCGACACTTGGGTATTTTGGGCGGATAAATTCGAAGGCGATCCGCATCGATCTCTGCAAGCAAGTGTCTTTGTCTGTATCATGAGTTACAGGCCCACAGTGTCATCATTCACAGCTGCATGTCTGTTTGTAATTCTTCTTATCCAAAGCATTATATTCTAATTTGTGGAAGAAGAAGGTCTCTTTGGGACCTCCCTTACATGGAGAGAAATGCAATCTGATCACGGAGCATTGAACTTCTGTGCTAGCAACTGAATTGTGGTTGTTCATGGTGAGTTGCTAATCGACTTGCTACTAGAATTGACTTTTAGGTTTGGTGGGCTTTTTTTGGTCCTTGATGGTGGAGAAGTTTTCTCTGGAACGGCGGCTTAAAAAGAGCCAAGCCTCTCCAAGTAGAAATGTGAGGGGAATTCTGGAGTGATTATTTACTTACCCCAGCAGCGGCCAAAGAAAAGTCGACAATTCTGGCAGGGATACTGTCATCCCCATGTCCCTCAGGCGCTCTACCATTGGGAGGGACCTGCCAAGCCTTATTGTCAACACAACAGAGCCAGTAGAGGTAGCACATGGTCTTTGCCTGGTCTGGAGAATGGAGGAACTACTGTATTGCGCTAATGTTTTCTAAGCGAAGCATTATGACGGAACAAACTTGGACTCCATGGCTGAAGAACACTGAAGAAGCCGTAGAAGTCGCGCATCATCAGCCAGACCGTTTTAGCTGCAGGCCAATGCCTATACTGAAATGATGTTACACCCCATATGAAATCATCCAAGCCCTAGACCTGCACGATGATGATCAAGACTAAGTTCGACCGAGGGAATGACGAGGGCACGCCACCGTCCATGCGAGCGAAAAAAACGATCCATAATATGACAGAGACAAGGATGCGTATATCCGTAATGCATGGGTTCTGTCTGGACTCCTTGTCTGGCGCCAACACATAGGGAAAAGCTGGACCAAGCCAAGTTTCCACAAGCCGCGGAAGCGAAGCGAAGCCAAGCTAAGAAGACGACGATATCCAAGAGAAGGTAAGGGTAGGGTAGGGTAGGGTAGGCCAAGGTTGAGGACGAGCATGCTATGGACATATGTAGATGCTTTCCAGCATCAAGCAATGGAACAAGCTTTTGAGTCGAGGCTAACTGCTGGCTGCTGGCTGCTACGCAGTGTAATTAGCTGGGAGCTATGGGTTTGAGCCGCCTCAAAGGCACTTCTTCTTTTTTAAGTTCTCGCGTGACTAGTAACCATCACTTGGTCGCTACCGACGCTGAGGTAATGCCCGGAGGATCGGAGATGTCTTGCATAGGCACGCTCTAACTCAATACCACACCAGTAGTAGTGAAAGTGGCATCACTGAGAGAATCATTGACGAATGCTACAGTCTCGGCTGTCCTGCACTGTGCTCTTCTTGATTACTGCAATCTGCATGTCGTTATTCCGCATAAAATTCTCGGCGCTGGCAACGTCTTGGTGTAGAAGCGCCCAGATACTCGATGCGCCCAATGCAGTGTAGGTACTAACCTGCTTTCATCTCAAGCACCTGTCATTGCCTCTAGGTTCTGACTTGGCTGGAGAAAAAAAGGGTGGCTACGGCTACGGCTACGGCTGCGGCTGCGGCTAATACCCGTACGGCACAGTACAGACAGGTGTGTCGGCAACCCATTGATTCTGCACAAAGATCCATCGATCATAACTAGGTAATTAATTATGAATGAGTGGCTATCGGGCCTCGACTCACCCGAGTGGTTACACAGCGTGCGGCGGCCACTTGACAAGTCGTGTTCATGGACCAAGATATGTATGTACGTCCGGATGATATGGATGAGAAAAGAAGGGCGTGAAGAGTTTCCCATCCAGGTAGGTAATTTGACGAGGCATTGTTATGTTCTCACCGGTGCCCTGCCAACTTACCTATCAGTTACGGTATTGGATGGTACGTAATGGGAGGAACTGCGCTCCGTATTCACCGAGTTGCTATAGTGCCTTGCCTACCTGGAGTAAAGTTTAAGGGAGGTCGGCACAATAGCGGTAAGATTGGGCTGTATCCAAGGTGCTAGGTCGGTATGAATGTTTAATTCGAATTTCACTGAACGGTACCTACTGAACTTATCAACAAGAAACTTAATTAGCCGGGTGTAGGCAATAATGACTGGTCAAGGTACAGTGAGATGATAAGGTGGCACAGTGTGTAAGAATACTGATACCGACAGAGATAGATAGACCTCTTACCTTAGTACTTATGACTTGAGGTGAGGTGATTGGACAGGAACTTGAGAGATGCGCAGGTTCGAGCATCCTGCACAGTAGTAGCTAGTACCTTATGGCCTGATGCTTGACAGCTCGAGTAAACAGTTACAGAGGTGCTTGTTGCAATTCATGCGTAAAATAACGGAAAGAAAGGACTATCACGTGCCTGTAGCCCAAAGGATGACCAAGTACTACCTACTAACCCATGCACATACCGTATGCTTGTATGCCGTGGCCACCACGTTTCCCAAGTTTCTTCCACCAAACTCAATTTCTGATGTGCCGAAGCCCAAGAGCCGAGACTTCATCTGTACATGGCCCGACCTCGCAGTTTAACTTGGCCGCTAGCAAGCAAGAATAACAAAGTTCTCCGCGGCAACCATACTTACTGTATGTACTTGCTGTATAGAATGCTACACCTGAAGATTACCTAGACATTCTTTTGCTAATGTTCGTTATCGTACAATAGCTGGCTGTTTGTTATCTTTACCCCTCAGTGTTTGCTTCAGTGTCCGTACTTTAATGCTGCTAAGCCGAGGCATGATGGGTTCCCTGCAGATTATTGCCAAAAGGTCCAGATCATGGCAACGATACCTAGTTATCAGATGCATTCCGTCTTATCAAGTATCCGGTTTCCAATTGTCCCGCTACGACGACACACAACGTCTGGACGGGGACCCAAGACCCTTGAGGCTTGATCCTTCTGGCCCCTCCCGAGCCCAGTCCCTCACCTCGTCCCTCCGTCCCTCCACTCCACTCCCCCCTCCTTCTCTCCAGCACCCGCCCGTGAACCCACCGCCCCATCCGTCAGGTCAACAGGGGCGTTGTCGCTCTGGATCGCTGCAGCACGTAATGTAACCTGCTGCAGTGCCCACTATGGCACTGCTACGCTGCAGAGAGATGCGCTACTGGACCCTCCCTCCGCTCTGCTTTGTACGATGGATGGATCATGCCAAGCCCAGGATCTTGTCCGGGTGGGCGTTACCGATGCATGCGAAGCACGAGGTTGAGTGGATGGACTCGACAGGAGTGGTAAGAGGCGGTACAAGGGTAAAGAAAGAGCGAGAGAGAGAGAGAGCGAATGGCTGATTCAAAGATATAAACTTGCAAAGTTTCCCACACCTTGCCGTCAGTTCCCTTCCAGCTTGTTCGTTCGTTCGTTTACTAGAACTTTCCAGATCGCTCACAAACGAACAAACAAACATCGGCTCATCGACTCAACGAATCTCACGAAAGAGGGCAGCGGGTTTCTTCTGGTTGACATCAGGCTGCCTGTAATTGTGCTGTGCTGTCTGATAACCCAAAAGATTTACCAAGAGACCGTACCGTGTCTCTATCTCTGAGACAACATTACCTACCTACTAGGTACATAGCCCAGAAACATTTCTGTTTCGGTCGTTGCATTTGGCTTGCTCGTTGATTGTGGTGAATCTTTGACATTTTTTGTCTATCCAAACTGCTGAGACTCTTATCTCAATACGAGCGACTATCCTTGTCAGAGGATTGAGTTCGAGGCTACTGTCTGTCCATTCGTACACCATCTATCTGCGCCAGCCACAAGCCAGAGAGAGACTTTGGCCAACAGGAGCATCTGATAAGAAGCCCGGTAGACCCCGAATCCTTCTTTGTCTTCGCCCATCCTTCGTGGACGAGACAATTGCTGCTGCTTGCGAGGTTCTCTTCTGCAAAGTCCCTTTCGAGCAACCGTCGCATCGTCAACGCCCGCAGAAACTGTTCAGGTCA